ACTGAATAAACAAAAAAGTTCTTAAATGATAAAATACGAGTACAGCAGTGTTTCAAATGAAATTTACAAAACTAACTTTATTTTTTACTCCTTTTTTTGAATAGCATTAAAATTAAATAAAATAAAATTTTGTTTCAAAATAAAAAAAATAAATAAAATTACATAATAGTATATTATGTTGTTAGCAAGTAAATGAACAAAATAATCAGGACGCTTTGCAAGTAATGAAATCATAAGAACGCTTATAAACACACGTCAGTATTGGAACTTGTGTTGAAATTTTAGAAAAAGTTTATTAATTAATTAATTAATTTATTTATTTATTGCGAATGAATAGTGCAGTTAGTAGTGGAAAATGTCGAATACTAATGATTTACAATACATAACTATCCAGAAATTGCTGAAACAGCAAAAAATACAAGAAAAAAGCAACATTGGTAAATGTCAATAATGTCAAAAGTGTAAACGCCTAGGCGCAAAAATAAAATTTCTAATCCATGGTTGAAAAGTACAACTTTTACTTGTGACATTTAGTCATAAAAGTAGTCACTTTTGTGACGTTTGATAATAAAAAATTCACACAGTATTTTATATTATAATATATCCAAAATTTGAAGTTTTGTAACAAATACATGCAAAAATTCACTTTTAATTATTTTGTTTTTTTTTAAATTACCTCCTTTATTACTTTAGTTAATGCAAATAATCAATTTTACGCCTTGTATTTTATTCCAGTTTAAGTTTTAATTACAATATCCTTGACTTGATTTTGTACGAAGTCAGTGTCAAGGCTAGTAAAATGGAAAATGTTTTATTCATCAACTCGAAAGGAAGGAAATAGAAAAAGTAAAGAATTTTTGTTAAGGATTTTTATTAAATTTTAATACTACTTACAATGACATAAATATAAAAATTAAGTAAATTCTTTAATCGAAAGCTTCCTCCATTGAAACTTTAGCGAACAAATTATTCAAAATATTCTTAATTACAAGTCCAAAGCCCTCCTCGTAGCCCTTTTGGACATCAGCAAACACCTCCTTGTAATTCTCATTCAACACTTTATTAATATTATCGCCGAGTTGTTTATCACCATTGAAGAGATTTTCAAAGTCGAATGAAACAAAATCGGGGTTGAAAGAAAAAGTAAATGTTTTGAAATTCATAAAAGTCTTTCCCTTCTTTTGGACTTCCTCGAAATTGTACTGACCTCCAAGTTTGATATTTCCTAAGAAAAATGTTAAAAATTGTTAGAAAATTCGAAAAACTTACGCAAAATAATCGTGCTTTTGCCGGTCCCAACAATTGGTAAAAGAAGAACTTTGCCGTTGAGTTCATAATCGCAGAGTTTTTTAATTTCAGGGATAAAAGAACTAGCATCTAAGACTTTTTTCTCAAAATCAAAACTGCAATTTTTCAATTAAAAAAACCAATAAAAATCACTGAAATACGTACCGGAAAGTGTCAAAATGTATTTTATCGATACCGTACAATTTACAGTTTTTAAAATTTTGTTGTACATTAACAACCCCTTCGGATCCAGCCCCAATTTTCAGCTCACTCATTTCCAAAGGGTTCAAATTTGGTAAATGGATTTCAGGGAAAGGTTTAGTAACTTGCACAACTCCATTATTGGCAGCTTCAAGAGCGCATTTATCAAAATCAGGGTCTTTGCGGTTACATTTGTGAAAATTTGAAGCTAAAAAAAAATAAATAAAAACAAAAAATTGAAAAATATTAACAATTTTTCAAAATCACTTACGAAACTTGGCACTTTGGGCCACCGCCACTAAAACCAAAACTATTGCCGTCTTCATTGTAAATAATGAAGTCTGAGGTCGTCTCTAATATTTATACACTAGTGGAGTTTATTATTATTAAAAAAAATGTTGTCAAACAAGTTTTTATCTGAATGGAGATTTTAATTATCATTACCATCTTAATTAAGCATTTCTTATTAGGTGAGTGCACTCCTTGTAAAAATGGCAAATAACCTTCAAAATCAAATATTTACTCTACAAATAATTGTTTGTTGATGCAAATTTGAATAAATGGTAAAAATTTAAAGAAGTAAAAAATTTACAACTGTAATACACAGTAGAAAAAAATTTCAGCCATGGAGCAAAATTCTGTTTTTGTGCTTCAACATTTTTACTTTTTATATTAACACTTTCAGTGTTGTTTCTTACTTGTCTCACTTTCGAAAATCACAACACAAGTTCCTCACGTGATCTTTGTTATGATTTCATTACTTGCAAAATGTTTGATCGGATAATTAACAAAATATGACAAGTTTTGCAGAAACACCCTGTATAACAATGCTTGAAACAGGATACATATTAAAACAATTAATTCTGCACCAGTTTTAATTAAAAAAGTTGTAAATTAACATAAATGCATAATTCTTTACACTTTACCACAAATTAGAAATTAAAATTTCCTAATTGCAAAAAAAACTTGTGTCTGGTTGGTTGTGTAAAATAATAAATCTTCAAAAAATCATTAAGTCACAAAAGAATGCGGAATATATTTTTTATTCGTAGAATATGATGATTTTTTTATTTTTTCCATTTAACAAAATTTAATAAATTTAAAGTTTAAAGCCGTTAACATAACTTTTTTCTATCAAAACTATCGACTTGATTTTAATAATAAAGCACATTTCAAAAATATTTTTAATTAATACAGGAAGTCCCGAAATAAGATACACAACTTTCTGTTTTTTTTTTTTTAATTAAAAATCCAATTTTTGTTACATTTTTGAATTCGTCACTAAATTGTCGAGATAACGCACCCAGATTCTTAGAATTATGTCAATTTAGATGTCAAAATAGCGTCATGGACAGACCCACTGAAAAAATGGTAACTTCAGAACCACAGAAGATAACGTAACCAACTTTTTTTCAGTCGATTCCTCAAGTTTTGACTCATCTTTTGAAATAAAAACGAACTCTGAGTCGATATTCCATCGCCTACTACGATTTTTTGAAAATGACAAATTACAAATGGCAATAATTTAACTTTTTCAAATACAACACCCTATATTTTATTGCATCATTGCATGGCATTTTTTATGAGCTTTTTGTCGATATAAAGTTTGTGGGGTCTATTTTGTAAAATTTCTGAATTTTTTTACCCCTGGGTCACCCTGTATAAAAAGAATTAGAATTTTTTTTGACTCAGTTATAATTTTGATTTTGTTTTAATTTCAGGATCAATTTTTTTGGACCGTCTGTATATAAATCGACCCAACAAATCATAAATTCTGAATAGTTTTGGAGTTATTAAAAAAAGAACTTTTTTTACCGAGAACAATAATCTTTTTGTGATAGATAAAAAATAAAAAAAATCCTTTATATTCCAATACAATACATACATCATACATCATTGCATGGCATTTTTATTGAGCTTTTTGTCGATATAAGGTCTGTGGGGTCTATTTTGTAAAATTTCTGAATTTTTTACCCCTGGGTCACCCTGTATAAAAAGAATTAGAATTTTTTTGTCTCAGTTATAATTTTAATTTTGTTTTAATTTCAGGATCAATTTTTTTGGACCGTCTGTATATAAATCGGCCCAACAAATCATAAATTCTGAATAGTTTTGGAGTTACTAAAAAAAAGAACTTTTTTTACTGAGAACAATAATCATTTAGTGATGATAGATAAAAAATAAAAAATTCTCTCGAGCGGTGCTAAACTTAATATTCCAATACAATTTTTGAAAAATCGCCTAAATATAATTTTTTTACATTTTTCCTAGTATTATTACCCCTTGAAAATTCTATGTAAAGTTTAATGACCTTAATAAATTTTCCTCCGCCCAAAGTAATTAAAAAAAAGATTAGGACGAGTTTTCCACATTTGAGTGCCCCAGTAATCATAATTAGTCTCCCTCATTAAGTCAAAGATGTATAAAAAGGTCTCCAAATTTCCGAGAAATCACAGTAAACACCATGTTGAAGTCCATAACATTTCTTGTATTTCTTGCCGTGGTTCAAAGTGTTAAATTACGTACTTTATAATTTTAACAAAAAAAATAATTTTTCTAATTTTTCTAATTCTAGCCCCAAATTTTCGAAAATGTAACCGAAATCAACCTGATTTAAAACAATGTGTGTTAGAAGCCGCCCAACATGCAGTCCCTCAACTTACCAAACCTTTTCCACACTTAAATATCCCAAATCTTGAACCTTTGTTAATCCCTGAACTCGATATAATCAAAAACGGACAAGGAAAAGTCGCAGTGAATCAATATTACTCAAACTGTCTATTTTACGGTTTCAGTAGTATCAAATTCGACCAATTTGAGTAAGTATCTTGTGAAAAATAATTAATCAAATTAAAAAACTGTTACTAGGTTTGATTTCGACAAGAAAACTCTTGAAGTCAAAGGAGTTTTCCCCGAAATAAAGAAAAATTGTCACTACAAAATGGATGGAAAAATTCTGCTCTTGCCCGTCAAAGGTGAAGGTCCGAGTACAATAGTTTTGAGTAAGTATCTCCAATAAGAAAAACAAATATTTATCCAATTTTTTATTCCAGAAAATGTGAAAACAGTGTGTCGGCTACACTACGAAGAAATTTCAAATAATGGAAAAACCTACTTGAAATTTACCAAAAGTGATTTAGACATCGAACCCGATTTTGTCAACTTCAACTTTGAAAATCTCTTCAATGGTGACAAGGCTTTGGGAGATAATATTAACAAAGTGCTTAATGAAAACTGGCAAGACGTCTACCATGACCTCAAGGATGATCACATTCAAGTCCTCAATAAAATCCTTCTTAATTTGATGAACAACTTCTTCGCTAAAGTGTCAGTTGAGGAGGCTTTCGACTGATTTCTGGTAAATAAATTTACAAAAATATTTGGTGTTTTTTAAAATAGAACAATCGTGAAGAAGGTGCTTGAGTCTCAACGAAATAAAAAAGGTAAAAGTTGCTGGAGAAATTAAGAGATTAAAAAATTATTTTTTAATCTCTTCTTACAAAAAAAATAATCGATTCATGCTCTCGTTTACACGCTAACGTAGAAAAAATTTAAAAAAATATT